GCTATTTAAAGCATGGGGTGGATTCTTCATAACTTCAACTAGTATGATTCGCAACAAGTGAAAATCAATGTTTTCTCAGAAAATTGTGGGTTTTACTTTTTATCTTGGTTTGTGCGACTTGTTCCTATTTTTGCTGCGGCGTGTCACAATTTCTCTAAAATCTTTGAAAACTGTGGCAACAACTGAAGTTGGTTGCCATGGCCTTTTGGCCTTAGCCAACACCAAAATGGCTAAACCTCTGAATTGTGCAGACACTGAACTAGATGAAAGTCATTTACAACAAAATATTCCAAGCACTGACATAATACACAACCTCGCACAATGTCTTACAATATCACATTAGATTGCTTGTAATGTTGTTTTAAATATTTGACCATATTGATTTTAACTGTGTCGTTTCTCAGCACAAGTATATCGTAAATTAAAATTTTGGCACAAAAGATATCCGGCGATACGTACTCCTTCAAGAAATGTTTGGCTTTTAATTGGTTTTTCTTTAATTAACTTCTTTGAGATTTAGTAAAAGGTTATTTTATCTTTTTCACCTTTATTCCAAAGTGCTGAAGAAAAATATACAGAACTAAAAAGCAAAAATATGATGGTGCACAGCAGGGTTTTATTGACATGTCTGTTTGGAAATCCAGCAGTGAACAATGTAATGAGGTGATGGTTGTTGAATGAATGCAAAATGCTTTCCTTAGTTTTGTTATTCACCTTCACATTAGGCCTAAATGACTTCCCTCACTTATGTGAGCCGCGTGATCCTGAACCATTAACATCACATCATGTCTAATAGTAGAGTAGCTAGAGTCAAAGTCTTTGATATACAGGTAGATATACTTTTATCAAATTACACAGAAAAAACAGTTTTGTGAAGCCACAGAAGACATCTGAAATATCAAAGTGTGTGATCAGGTTTGTTCTTGTAACATGTGTTGTAGCTACAAGAAACAGTTTGTCCTTGGCAAATTACATCATCAACAGGTCTGTTTGTTTTCAACTCATTGCTAATTTGCTTTGCTACTGATAGACTCCTTTGTTCATTACTGAAATTAGCTGCTTGTGTCTGTGTTTGTAGATAAGTTCAGATTTAGAATCTCTCCTGCAGAGCTGAAAACTCTCACAAGCACCATTTCTGAATTGTGAGCAGACTCTAAACTGCCGTGGATAGTAAACCTGCCTCATTACATGTATTTTGTATTGTTCCACCTGTGGCATGCTCACCATGCTTCAACATCCCACCTTTTTTTTCTTTTTGTTTATACCTGTCTTTTTTTTTACCTCTTGAAACAGGAGAAGGAAAATGATGGGTGTCTGAGTAAGCTTTATATCTCCAGGGAGCACACACACAGATTTCCTGTTCAGGGTCAACCTGCAATTAGACTTCAGAGGGCCTCTTCCAGACTCACAGTAAGGCTCGACATGGAGGGAAGTGCTGCCAGCAAGAGAGGAGTGTTGACCCTAATATGAACTAAACTGCTTGTTGGTTTACCTGCTGCGATAGAGCACTGCTTTATATAAGGACCGGACAGTTCACTCACAGCCACAGTGATTCATGGTCTCAGAAAACTAACATGGCAGGTTTTGTTGGGAAACTGGGGTGAAAACTTGGAAAGATGTGCAGTTGGTTACTGCTGGTTTTCAGAAACTCAGGCTCATATTCAGCAACTATTTGCACAGCTTTTGTGAGCACAATTTCAGATTTTTGGCATCAAAGGGAAAATAGATGGATGTGAACTCCCTTAGAGAGGAAGCTTTGTGCTACCAACCGAATAGTGAATTTATGCACTACAATGATTTCATTTAACTTGTATGACTTTATGCACAACCAACCTGTTGTGGACACAACACTAAATGTTCTATGCACGTACAAAATTATTGGCTACCAACATGTTTCTAACTTATTCCAAGCTTACACCATCTTACTTAGACCAAGACATTGTCCTTTTTTTCCATAATTCAACATAAGTTTTATAAAGCAGAGTGCGACAGGTCCTTTAGTGGTAAAAAAGACAAATATTACAAGCTCAAAATAATTAGACATTTCAAAAATGTCAAAATGTTTGTGTTGCTGCTCTAAAAACCCTTCCAATTTAGCAACTGTTCACAAAAATGTGATTATTATACTTTTTCTGTTGCAATCACAGGAAGCTATAACAGAAGGCAGACTGACTTGAGTTAAAAAAAAAACTTATTTCATTAAATAAAAAAGCTGTCAGAGCAACACAAACTTACATAAATAAGATAAGAAATGAGGGAGGAACAAGGAGGCCTGGACTGTGGCGTGAAAACTAATAATGCGCTGCTGAGGTGGTGATGGCAAGAGACTTGGATGATGAGGTATTGAAGACAGCTGAGCTGATCACAGATTGCCCGGGAACAGGTGAGAGTGTCTGACTGAGAAAAAAAAACTGAGAAGCTGACGGGATGGGTGAGACATGACTGGGAACGGACAGAAGAAACAAGGCTGATCAGCCGAAACAGATAAGATCTGAACTAAGAAACAAAAATCACAAAGATAAACTGATAATACTGTATACGAACAGAAGTAACAGAACTCAAAACACAGGAACAGAGAAAGAGAACACAATGATCAGGTAAAAACTGAATCCAAAAATAAACTCAAACACCAGTAGCTATAAGACACAGATCATGACATTTTGAAAATCTGCAATTTTACCTTCTAAATCTATTGTTATTGAGAGAAAATTAATTAGCAATGGATTAAAATGAACAGGCCATTTTCAATAATGCAATATGATTTTTTGTCTTCATTTTAAGTAATTTGACCAGAAGTAAAAATGTTTTAGGAGCTAATAAGATCAGGAGGATCATTATTTGAAGGAGCAAATAATCTTTCTTGCCTTTCAGTTTGAGTTACTCTCTTTATATATGTTTTTCATGTAAGTCTTGCAGTTAAAATGTAAAAAAAAATAATAAATAAAATAAAATTAAAATTAAAATAGAACCAGACATTGCTCACAAACATTCTGCAAACTGATGACCCATCAATAAAAAATGATACTGGATGTTTTTGTTTCATTAATGTTTGCTGAAAACTCCATCAATCAAGACATAAGTGGTGACTTTGCAAAAGAAAAACATTATAAACAGATAAGACAAGCAAGGAATGCCACAATAATGCCACTATCTGTCAGAACATTGTTTTGTACAGCATGGTGAGATTGTATGGGCCACAGCTACCCAGTTTACATGGGGTGTTCTGTATATACTGTATGTTATGTAATATGAATGGCTTGGAAAGAATGAACCCAGCTCACAGGCAGCTTCAAAAAAGGCAAAAGTAAGTATTTATTAAACAAAAAAATGCTGACAGGGCAGATCAAAAACTCACTAGGTGTGGCAAGACAATGAGCAAGAATCATGAAAACAGCACACAGTTCAGGCAGGGAAGTGAAGACAAGACACAGAATTTAAAGGTGTGAGACTAATGAGCACAAACAGGAAACACCTGGGGGAGAAACATGAGGATCAGGTGTGAGTGGGCGGGGCTGGAGCAAAGGCAGACAGGAGGAAGAAAACAGAGGACAAGACAGAAAACTAGATTAAATCATAAACACAGTCATAGATCATCACAATATTTGGTAATCTGACATTTCAGACTTATATTTATTGTTTTTTTTTATTTTATTTCATTTTTTTACTTCAGCAGTGGTAGCCATCGCTAAATCAAAAGTTACACAAATTATACAGCACTAGCTAAGTTATTGTGGTCCACAAGTTCTGTGTGCCTATTAAAATATAGCAGAAGCTAAATCTAAACCACATTTTTTTCTCAGAGTTCACTAGAATATATTCCAGTATTAACATGAGACATCTTTGCACAATACGGACAACTAGAGGCATACCAGTATATTTAAACAAAATTGCATATGATGCCACAGTTTGGGGAGGTGATTTATTGAAACTGAATTTTGGCTCAAATTGATAAATAATTTTCAACTGTTTATTGTTGAAGATTGTCATCATGTTGTCACTCAATGTTGTGGGATGTGATTCAGATTTTTTTTAATTTGGCATTTTGAAATGACAGTTTTTTTTTCTTGCAGTTATTAAAAAATCAAAGTTGCTTAGTTTAGAACTAAACCACTTTGGTTAGGGTGCAATAAGAAATGTAAATGGTTATGTAAAAAAAAATATATTTTAAAAAAAGATCTGTTGAGTTCAGTTTGGACCCAGATGTTTTGACAAAAAAGAAGCTGCGTGTGTAAATGAGGAGGAGGGAGTTTTCTTTTTTCTTTTTTCTGTTGTTCTTCTGCAAGATTTTGTTGTGCAGATGTGCAAAGGAAAGTGACTGTTGGTGCCATCTGGTACTTTGGGGTATGTTAGGGGATTACTCATGCTGAATGTGCACCATCTCAGGAAGTTTTCTTTTTTCTTTTTGCCATTAGCAAAGCCGCCCAACAGTGAATTCTCGATATTCCATCTGTGAGTGTTTCCTCCTAAGGAGCACATTTCTAATTTCCTTTTGTCATCAGCCTGTCATGTCAGCATTTAAAATGGATTATTAGGTGATACAAATGCATGTGCACACAGCAAAGCTAAATCAGTTGGCTGTTTGCATACCTCCCTTGTTTTCTGCTGCTGGAATTTTTTACTGTTTAAACCATGGTACCTGTTTCCCCACATATTCTTAAAAACTATGATGCAATGCAAGTTGCACAAGTGTTTATGTGTTTATAGGATTAATGTTTTATGAATTGCATCTATGTTCTGGGATTTCAACTAACCATGCTAAAATTTTGGGCAATTTGTCCCAAAGTCAATTCAGATTTAATCGATTCCTTTTTAATAGCTTTCAACAAATTGCTTTTTTAGAACACCGAGTGTTTGCATTATTCATTTGTGAAAGCATTATGAGTTCATTTAGTTTAACTCTACTTGAGTTTAGGAACAAAAAGCGACTTGTTACAGATTGTGTTGAAGCTCACTTTGGAGGAAAATCATCTGACCCCTGGTTTGTTGTCTTGACTGTTTAGGTGATCCAGCGCAGGGAGGATGGCACAGTCAACTTTTTTAGAGGATGGGAGTCTTACCGGGAAGGATTTGGCAAAATCACCGGTGAACACTGGCTAGGTAAGTGTGTCATTTACTTTGTTCGGTGGTGTTCATCTAATATGTACGTGAAATGAGTTTTGTATTCTCATCAAGTATGTCTGCACTCTTAAAGCAAATGTGTTATTCTTTTAACAAATTTTCTATGTTAGCATCAAACACAACTTGTGTTGTTTTCTACACCTTATGGGTTGTTCTATTAAAAAAACAAAAGTGGACATAATTCGGATAGAAAATGTGTTGAATTGAACACAAAATGTATAGTCCTTATAGACACAGTATTGTGTTGGGTTTTGACTCAGTATGTGTTGATATTAACACATCTGTCTGATTTGGTCAAGAAGCTGTACAGTTTGCAACAAGAATTTCTAAAATGATAACATTAAAGCTGGCAGGTATTTTAACTAAGTCCATATGATATGCCAGTTTAAACAAACAAATAAATCAATACAAATAAAATATAAATATACAAAATAAACTATAAAATAAATTAAAAAAATAAACTGAGATCTGTCAGGTGATAAAGCAAAACATGTCAAATAAAATGAGGTAGAATGTCAAAAACTGATATTTTTCATGAATTTATATACATACATACATGCATACATTCATACATACATACATACATACATACATACA